CATATTAACCAATATTACAATTAGAAGATCCATGGTGATAAAAATCACATAATCCATCGTCTTTCACAAGACTACAAAATTCTCTATTTTTTTAATCGCATATACCATATATGAAATCACAGCCTTTTCCTTTTCCATAGAACATTTATTCTTCCATAGATTCGTTTATTTCAGCATAGAAACCTGTGTCTCTTAAAAGATTGGTTGTAAAACCACTAAAATAGGCCTAAGTTAGTGATACACTTGCATTCATGTATTCGTCTGCGATAGCTGTTTATTCCCAATGAGATCCTGCAGACTTTTTTCCTCCTTAATTTTCAAGAGGCATACCAAAAAATTTATCACATTCGTAATATTTTTTAGCGAATTTCAAAACATTAGGAGTTCTGAGCAACTTAATTTTAACTCCCCTTATATCTTTTTCAAAAGTAGCGAGATTATGAGGCTATCCATCAGAAGTTACCCATCTTTTTATATCATCATTGCTAAAACCTAATATATGAGTGATTTCATGGATAACTATTTCCATTAAATCTTCAAACACAATAGGATCTTCCAGATTTATTTTGCCAGTTAACAAACCAAAATTAAAATTAACTGTACCATGAGTAGGTCCTAAACGATCTATAAATTAACACCAATTAGCGTTGGCTAAACTACTGTTACTTGGTTCAACTGTATATGATACATATATATGTAAATCAGAATTTCTTCCCTAAGTTTTATCTATATCAGGAACTTGAACTATTCCACAATTTTTTTTACTTGATTTATATCTCATATCTGTTTCTTTTCTTGGGATTATTTTTATTAAACGAGAAAAATAGTTAGTTGCCAATTACATTGCTTTCTCGATGCTATTAATTATTTTACTCACCTAATGTACCATAACAGAATCAGCTAAAGCTTTGAAAAAATCCATATTATAGGTAATTACCATATTACGAGGTTTTTTCGTTTATAAATTACGAATATCTGAAAATTCTTCAATAGGATCTGGAGGAATGGATTCGTATTTTGAGATTTCTTTCATTTTATCATGGCCACATTCGTGTTTAAGGACTTTTAGACCGAAAACAAAGGTTATTAATACTAGGTATATTATAAGTTTTTACATTTTTTTTAATTTTATTGTTAATTTTTTTCTTTTTTTATTTATAGCTTTTTTTTTTAAAAAAAAAAATTTTAATCTATATAATTTATTGATAAAAAAATGTAATATGTAATTATAATTTTTTAATTAGAAATTTTAATTTTATTATTTAATATTTCTTATTTTTAGCCTATTTTTTATATTTTTTTTTTTTGTGTTATATTTATTTAAATAAATTTATATGGTCTAATGATTTTTTTGTAAATGATTTTTATATTTTTTTAATAAATAAAGAATTTATTAACTTTTAATTCATTTATTTTATAAAAAAAAAATTAATAAATAATTAATCATTTAATTTATTTTTGGTTCATATTTTTATATTTCATTCTTTAATTAGTATTATATTTTCTGATTAAATTTTCATTCTCGTAAAAATTATAAACAATAATATATAAAATATATATATATATATATATATATATATATTTTAATATAATTTTCTAAATTTATTAATAAAAGATATTAATTTTTAATTTATATATTCGAATATTTATTTTATAATTATTTAATAATTGTTTTTAGTTAATTTGATTATTATTTGTTTAATTTAGTTTTATAAAAATAATATGATTATTATTTTTTGTAAAAATAATATAATAATATAAAAATAATAAACATCTATTATATATAAAAAACATAAAAACAAATAAATATTTATATATTATATAAAATAACAATGTTAAATAAATCATATTTAATTAAATAAAATAAAATTTTATAAATTATAAAACTAATATAATCATTATTATGAAGAATCATATATAATTTTAGAATAATGTTTAATTAATTTAAAAAACACTAATATAATATAAATAAAAATAAATGAATGATTATTTTTATATTTAAATTATAAAATTTAATATATATAATATTTTATTTTTTTTACCTTATTATATAAAAATTTATAATATTTTTATTTTTATACTTTAAATATTTAAATTCTTTTATATTTTTTTAATACTTTAATTAACTTTCATTAATTTTTTTTTAAAAAATAATATTTATTATATTTAATTTATATGTTTTGTAATTTATTATAAAATACTATATAATATTTTTATATTCATTAAAATTATTATATTTTAACAAAATTTACTAATATATAAATAAATTGAAAATTAGTTTTTATGTATATTAGTATTTATAATTATTATTAATTATTTCAGTTCCATAAATAGACAGAACTAGTGTAAAAATTAGAATTATACCTCTGCAAATTCGTGTTAATATTATAATGGTCAAAGACCTTCTAATGGTTTGATTAACTTCAATTTACCTAAAGTACTAAATATAAAATTTAATGATTTTGTTGAATATAAATAGTTATCCATGAAATTAATTACTCATATATAAGGTTTTAGCACTGATGATATACCTTAATGGGTAAATTTTAAAGGAGCATCGTAAAGTAAACCTGCTATTAAATAAAAAATAAGGGGATTGAAAGTTTATTCCTGAAAACAAATATTTGGTACGTTATACATTAGGTGGTATGCCCCATTAAAATTATGGAGTCGAAAATTTTAAAAAATTAAAATTGGAAAAACATAATTATCTAAAACGAATACATTAATGTAAGTGTATAGAACATAGGCATATTTTATAATAATAGAAATTAAAAAAATTTTTGTTTAATTTTTTTTGTTTTTTTAAATAATAAAAAAATAATAAGAATTTGTCAATAAATAGATAAGTTGTTATAATTATATAAATATAATTACTTAAATAATTTAATATTATTTTTATATTTATACTTATTATTATATATTAGATTAATATAAAAATAAGTTATAAAAAAATTATATTTTTAAAAAAAATATTTAATAAAAAGAATTATATCAAATAATTAAACTAATAAGAAATATATTAAATAATTAATTTAAAAAAAAAAAAAAAATAGTAAAATTATAAAATATATTTAAATAAAAAAAATTAAAATATGAATTAAAAACTTATAAAAATCAATAAAAAAAATATATATAGAAATAAAAAATTATAATTATTTATAACAATATATTGAAAAAAAATATAAAAAATAATAGATAATTGTTATAAAAAAATTATATTAAAGTATTTATTATTATATATAATTAAAATATAAAAAAAAAAAAAATATAAATTTAAAAAGCAAATTATTCTTTTATAAAATTTTTTAAAAATAAAAAAAAACTAAATAATTATATAATTAAATTATATATTTTTTTAAATATACATATTAATTAAATAATTACCTTAAAATTAATATTTATATAAAAAGGTAAAATTATTTTCATTAATAAAAATATAATAATTAAAAAACAATATAAAATATATAATATATAATATATATATATATATATATACACATTTTTTATATTATTTTTATATATATAATAAAACAAATTAATTAATATTTTGTTATAATAATTATAATTATTTATTATATTTATTTATTTTTTATATATTAAATATTTTTATTTTTAACATTTTTTTTTTTTAAAAAAGTAATATAAATTTAAAATATTAATCTTTTTAACAATATTTATTTAATATATTTTATTTAAAAAGATTTTTTTTTAATAATTTTAACTTTTAACAAATCAATAATCTATATATTACTAATTAAGACAGAAATTTTTTAATCAATCCACAAGGATATATTTAAAATTATTTTTTTTATTTTTTAATATATAAATTTAGTTAATAGATAAATATTATTAAATTTATATTTATATTTTTAATAACATATCTTTATTCTAAATATTTTATAATTCTTAAAATATATTTTATTTTATAAATTTTTAATTAACACAAAATCAAACTTACTTTCTTTGTTTTTAATATAATATCAATAGAAAATCTAATCATAATACATTAATATTATTTTAAATGATAAATTATTTTTATTATAATATTTTAAAATATTTTCAATAATTTTTTTATTTTTTCTTTATTATATAAAATCATTATATTTTTTTAATATATTTTTAAAGAAAATAAAATATATTTTGTTAAATATAATAAATAAAAATATTTAAAATTATTAAAAAAAAATTATTTTAATATAAAGCTTATAAAATTATTTATTTCGTATAAATAATTTCTATAACTTAAATATTTTTTTTATATATATTTTATTTTTTCAAATGATATTTTTATTTCGATATTTCCATTATTTTTATGTTTAAATAAATTTATAATATTTTTTATATTTTTATACATATTTTAAATAATAAAGTAAAAAATTATTATTTACATATTAATATAATGATAATTATATTTAAATATTTTATATTATTTTTTTTTAAATATTTTAATTATAAAAATTATAAAATATATTATTAAATAATTATTTAAATGAAATAACATATAAATATTTATATTAATTATACGAATAATTTATATAATATATAATACAATATAATTTCAAATTTTTTTTAGATTAATATTGAGTTTAATATTTTTATTTTTTATTAGAAACTATATATATTTTAATCTAATCCGCTAAAACACAATACATGAATTATATTATGCAAAAATATTTACATTTAATTAACAAAATAAACATAAATATTAATTTTTTTTATAAATTATATAAATTATAGTTTACAGAGCTTTAACTATATCCTAGAACAATTACAAATCAACACATATTAGCAATATATAAATAATTATTTATAAAATACATATATTTTAATAAAGTTATTTTACCTTATTTTTGTTTAATTAAGAAATTTTAAATTCACATATTTAACTCGTTTATTTTATATTTCATAATTTTATTCTTATTTAAGGATATTTTTTTTAAACAAGAATATATTCAATAGCTAATTATAAATTTTTAAGTTAAGTAATAGTTATAATTTTAGATTAAAATAATAGTAAATAAAGGAAATCTACTTTATAAATAAAGAATTTAGATTATATCTAATCGTATATTGAATTAGGTAAATTATTTTAAATACACTTTTAACCAAAAATAAAACTTGTTAATAATAATTCATTAATAATTTTTATATTTAATTTATAATTTATTAAGTAGTTTTTTTTTGTAATTAAATAATATAAATATTTTTATTTAATGTATTATAATTAAAATATATATAAAATTAAATATTATTTTATATATATATATTTATTAATTATATATTTATATATATTTTTAATTTATATCGTTTATTATTAGTTGATTTCTTTAAAATTTAATTAAATAAAACAAAAGAACACATTAGTTTAATATAATTTATATTAAAATTTGATAAAATATTTTTAATATTGCACTAACATATATTTATTCTAAATAAATTATGCTGGATTAAAATATTTTTATTTTATTTTTATTTCGTTTTTTATATTATTTATATAAATTTTAAAATTTATAAACTTTTACATCATAATTTTTTTTAAATTATTTTGAAAAATTATATTTTAATTTTATTAAAAATAAATATAAAATAGTAAATTTATTGGTTTATAATTTATAAAAAATTAATGTTTTTTTTTTTATTTTAAGAACCTTTTTATATATATTTTTTATTTTCATAAGTATATCGAAAATATTGAGATTTTTTTTTTTTTAATAATAAATATAAAATTAAAAAATAAATCATTTATCTAAAATTTTTATAATTTTTTTAAAATAATTATATAAAACAATTAAATTATAAAATTATAATAAAAAATATAAATTTTAATGAGAATATAAAAAATTATAAAATTATAAATATAAAATATAAAATATAAAATATATTTTTAATAATATTTATAATTATTGTAAATCTTTATATAATTAATTTATTATAA